ATTTTTTTTTTTTTTTTTTTTTTCATACATAACGTATTTTCGTATTTATAAATAAAAATAACTTTAGACACGCAGCGAACTTATCCGCATACTTACTTTAAGGGGCGAATATAATAAATAAAAATACGGTTAACGTGTGTATAGGTAGTATTATATTAATATTACGACGGGTCGTATACACGGCTACAGTAGTAGAAGTAGTAGTAGTAATAGTGGTACAGTAGTGGCGGTATGGTCGTAACACTATGTTATTTTCAATTCATTATATTCGGACACTTTGAGTGCTTTATATTATTACAATTACGAACGCGATAAATGGAAAAATAAAAATAAAATAAATACGATACACTCGTATTAATTAAGCATAACGAGCGGCCGTTCTGAAATTGCACGAAACTTGTATTTTTTGAAACGTTTCGTTTCGATGACAATTGTGACGACGAAAATTCGTACAATGTTTATGAATGGTCCGCTGGATGTCCGACATAATCTAGATGTCTGCACCGTCCGGTGTAGCCATCACTTAACGCGGTGCGCGGTTCTGCCCGCAGTTTGTGTTTTAAACTGTTAACGACGCATAATTTTTCGAAAACATTTCAACGATAATATTAACAAACAGTTAAATCGGTTTGAATTGTCGACTTTACGGATACATGTTCGTTGATTACGGCACGAGCTCAATCTGAATAAAGCATAAAATAATAATGTTTAGAAATATTTACGAATAAATGTCTGAATCTTACAATCGGTCCGGTTTGATTTGTTCGATATGGTGGAGAGGGGGGGGGCGGGAGCAACTCCACTCGCGTAATATTTAGAGGTTATAGTGAACACAATACTGCAATACTAATGAGCATTATGACTTAACAAAACGTAATACAAAATTACTCTAAGTGTAACTATACGTTTTTCTCGAGGCCTAGATAAAAATAACGTCTTGTGCAACTGCAGCGGTTTAAAATTGTAATCCGGTTTGTTTATGTATTTATCTTTAATACGCGTGATATGGGCAATTTATTTAGAG